GCTGGGCCTTCATGGCTTCTATCATGGTCCTGAGCTCATCTATTTTTTTGTCAGTTTCTGCTCTAGAGTCTCGAATCATGACTTCCATTTTGCTCACTATCTCTATGGTTATCTGGGAAATTATTTCTGTTTTGAATTTTTCTAGAGCCTGATTGATCTGTTTTGTTACTTCCTGTGCTTTGAGTTCAGGGTGTCCTGGTGGTTCACTATGGGCCTTTTGATCCTCATTTGCCCTACTGTTTGCCATTGGTGAACTGGAAGTCTGTCCTTGTGTTTTGCTTAAGTGTTTTCTCATTTTTTTTGTTGTTGGACTGTCCTTGGTTTAGTCTCTGGATTATTACCCAAATCTTCCTGATATAGTTGCTCCCTAGCTTCTGTGTCTCTAATGACCCACAGACATTCTCATCTTCGTAACATCAGAGAAAACAGCTCATCAACTCAACCGCAATGCTTTACCCCAACTGATACAATCAACAACACATTAAGATCAAGCACAGCTTTGACACTGACCACTGGTAGTAGTCACTAGTCTATCACCCTTAAATCATTTGAATTAAATTGAAATCAGGAAGCAGTCCAGAACATGTCTGCAGTGAACACAATTTCAATATAGTGTATTTACCATTTAATGGCTCAGACAGAGCGAGGATGCAAGACCCCTGATCTCAGTTAGCTGATGGCTGAACCCCATGATGCTGACTGACCTCGGGCTGCAAGGCCCAGATTGAGTTCCCCAACCTTCTGAATGGTTGAACTCCACCACGTTCTATTACAGGTTTCCCATGCCCTTTCTTTAAAGATGTTCAAAGTTGGGAACTCAGAAAAATATCATTGATGACCACCTCTGCCTCTGCAGAGTGGGTCCAAAGACTGGCACAGTCAGGAGGACTGAGAGTGCAGGGGTTATGGGGGTTTCAGGGGCGCCCCTGTGGCTACCTTCCCGGCGCTTGAGTGATGGCGGCTGGGTTGGGAGCAGGCGTGGTTCTCCTTCCCATGGTGGATCGGGGCCCAGGCTACTTCCCAGCGCTTGAGCGATGGTGGCTGGGTCAGGAAATGGCGTGGTTCTCCTTTGAGTTTCACCTTTGAGTATAGCTCTGTGGTATAGAGCTTGCCTAATGTCCAAGTCCCTGGGCTTGATCCTTACCATCTCAGTAAGAATGAACGGGGCACCCCTGGTTTATAGTTATAATTATCAGGACAATTAAACAACAGCATCACAGCTAAACACTTCACATGTGCTGTGTCACTGTATTTGCTGGTAACAACCAGGAGAGATACAAGACTGTTCTTTTTGGTCAGAACTGGATTTCAAACTGTAACTTGTGGTGGCAGGCAGGTTGATGCTAAACCTCAAGGTTCTAGAATCAACAGCTGAGTTCTCAGGCTTTTTTTTTTTTTTTTTTTTTT